AAATCCACCTCAACACTTTTAAACAGTGGTGATAAATTCTGGAGCAGCATTTAGTGCAATCGACCCCCCACCAAAGACCCGTGATCGGAACGGAATGTCAAAAGCCAATCTGAGCAGTATTGCAAATGAGACATTGCACCGCCGAGCTAGATTTGTCTTCCAGGCTCAAGAGAATTTGAATATTTATAGCCCACCTAGAATCAGGCACATTTTGTACAAAGAGTCAATGAAGTTCAGATAACGCGTGACTGTTCAAAGATGACAGTGAATTACCCCAATAGAATGTCTGGCAGCCAGCAAGGCGGGATGGGCAGCTAAAGACTAAGTGTTGACATTTTTTAAAAAACAATCAGGCTTGAGCCAGCTTAGTTACATAAATACAATACTTTTTTTAAAGGGGAGCTTATGTCTGATTGGCTGAGACATACAATAGGATTCTGCTCCTCCCCCACAAGTGAATCTAACTGCAGTATGTCAGGACCAGTGAGCAATTCAAACTCTAGCGCACCAACATCTAACAGGTAAAATGATTCAATCCGCATCAGTCATTTGATCTGATAGAAACGGAGTCACTGTAATGGAATGCTGTCAGAGGATCAAGAGTCCTGCCTTGAAAATAAGCGACTCGGCTTTACTCCGACACACATGTAGCAGCGGGAGGGCATCACGCTCTGACAACCGTCTAGTTCATTGACAATCTCTCTGAAATATGCCTAGCCAATGCTCAGAGTCCTGGGGAGAATGTAGCGCCCCGTGCTAACACAGAGTGAGATGTTTAATATACCGGCATAGGGAGATGGACATTGGTTCTCCTGCCCTGCAGGAATGCTCATCATTCCCATCCTGCGGCCAGACCTTGTGGGAAATGCTGCTATTGTCCCACGACTTCATCAGTGTCCACAGGACAGGAATTCCCCCATCTGCTGTTACAAGGCCACAGGCTTCCGACAAACCCTTCAATCCACCACGAGGCGCGTGAACCTGTAAGTGTCAAACACGACGCTCCACAGCCAGGCGTACCGAGGAGACACAGGAGTAGCGGCCTAGCAGGAGTGCATCAGCTGTGCTGGGTCTGGAGCAAGTGGCTGCAGTTAACCCAAGAGAGGGCTGGGTTCCCCAGATCTGATCCCGCTTAAACCTCGGGTTTCCTTCAGGTTTGGCCGAGTGAAGCTGAAATGCCGAACAAATCACCAGATAAAACTGCCTAAATAATTACTCCTCAGCAGCATTTTTATTCCTGGGACAAGACCACTCTGTCAGGGACGAGTCAGCCAAGCCCAGGAGAGGCCAGCTCCACCGAGACAGGAAAAGCAACCCTTCAATCAACCCCCTGGGGGAGCTCCGGGAACCTGCCTCCGCACATCACTGGCTAAACCTTGTGAGGTGTGGCGGGGCAGACGGGGCAGGGAAGGGGGTCTTAGCAGCCTTGAGACAACTCACACCTCATGCTGTGAAACTAGAGATTTTTACATCCCCTGCCCTTGCTGTCACCTTGAGCTCTCCCTCCGTCCCTCCATTGGCACGACTCACATGGGATTTCTTCTCCCTCCCCAAACATGTCAACCCCCTGTCCTCCACTGACCACTGAGTGTACTCCCATGACCACCTGGCCTGCTCCCCCACCTTGAACCTCCAGGGAAATAAGGTGGACCACTGCACCCCACAAAGGACCATAAAGCACCCTCTATTTAGGATCTGCAGGGAGGAGGAGGAGGAGGAGGTCCCAATCTTAATCAGGCACCCAAATACAGCTGTGTCAAACATTTCCATCACATCAGGTCACCCCCGTGCCGCAATGCAGCACAAGAAGAAAGATCCCACCAGTTCCTTCCACCACTGCAGCTTGGAACCATGCTCCTCGCGTTCTCACATTTACCCTCGTGGCCACGGCCATGCGCCTTCCCTCCTCAGAGCAGAATAGGACGTGAAGACTGACCTAAGCCAGGGTTTTCCCCACCCCTAGCAGATCAGCAGCTCGTTAACTGTGCTCCACCATCCAGCCAGTGAAGAGACCTTTAAAGGGACTGATGAACCTCCAAGTTAAACGCACCTGACTGGATTCTGGCAAAGATAACCCCAGATGTTCGTAAACAATCAAGGCATTTTTGGAGACTGCATTCCTGTTAGGGGGTAGAGCCCGGACATTTCATTACCTATCTCCTGGGTGCCCCCCTGATGGCACAACTGGTCTCAAGGTAACAAACAATCCCTTCCCCCCACTTATGAGGGAAGGATATTTAACCAGTGATGTGCCAGAGCACATTCCTGGCCAGAGGTGACTCATCTCCAGGACTCACAAGTATACCTCTGAAGAGCATCCATTTTGCTTTTGGAATGGAGCAAATGTCAGGGACTTTGAGAATAAAAGGAAACCCCACGTACCTAGGGATGGAAAAATACCCCCACGCAACACCGCAGACACACACACGTGCACGCGCGCGCACACACACACACACACACACACACACACACACGGACTGCACTCACTACTGCATAATTTTGCACAGTTTGCACACCATGGGACTGTACTCAATTGGCACAGATCCACTGATTTCAATGAGGCTACACCAATTTACACCCGCTGAGGATTTGGCCCCACAAAGCGTAACCATTGCCAGCGAAGCGTGCTGGGTGTGAGTGTCCCTTCCAAGCAGTGCCGCACCCCTCCTGGGCTATGGGAATGATGGGGAAGCATTTTGGTTTCAAGAAGAAAACCAACGAATCAACAGGCCTGTTCCCCACCCGCCTGGCGTACAGGCACACAGAACTGTTGTGCACAAGGGTTATTGCGGGCTAAGCCGGGGGAGGGAGTTTTGCAGGAACTCCTCCTGGCTAAAATATTGGCAGGGTGTTACTGTACTTAACCACCCGTCCTGACGAGGCTGTTTTCTCTCAGCTGACCACTCGTATGGGTGGTGATAACAGACCCCGTGCCACGCTGCCGCTATCTTGACACAATAATCTGACTGGGGGATGACCCGTGGCAGCCCTTGGATGAAGCATCTCCAGCTGAATCCAACCCTCCCCCACAAAAACAGCTGCCGGTCTCATAACTCCCATCTGACTGAAAGGGGCAGAAGAAGGAAATGCCAACATCAAAGCAACCACGGCTAATGGCTTTGCCACTGAGCAGTTGACACCTAAACACAGAGGCCGAGGTTTCAAAATGACCAGTGATTTTGGGGTGCCTGACTTCAGACACCTTAAAGGAGCCTGATTTTCAGAGACTGGGTGCTCAGCTCTTTCAGAAAATGAAATCCCGTGGAGGTGTCGAGTGCAGCACACAAAATCACTAGTCACGTGTGGACATCTCCACTATCCCCTTCCTAACAACTAACATACAGCACTTGCAGTCTCTCCTGCCCAGGGCAAGGAGACAATCGAGTCAATGGAGCCACGCAGATCTCCACCAGCTGAGGATCTAGCCCCAAGTCTCCATTATACCCCACTTCTCCAAACAAGTTCTGTCGGGAATGTCGGTCTCACTCCTAGGTCAGCTTTCAGATCCCCCACAATGATGTGGACTGAGGGACAAAGTTTCAACTTAGCCTAAGTGCCTTAGGAGCCTAGGTCCCACTGACTCTCTCAAAGCGCTTTACAAAAGAGACCAGTCGGTATCACTATCTCTGTTTTACAGTTGGGGAAACTGAGGCAGCAAGTGGCATAACTGCTATAAGTACTTAACAGAGCATTCCCTAAGTACTGATACACTTTTGTGCTTGTACATTTAGGGCCACCCTTCCTCTTGCAAAAATAAATGCAGGGAAGAGAACGAAAGCCCAAATTTCTTCATAGGGAGAAACAGTGTGAAACATTTGACCTGCAGTTGGCTACACATTTCATCCCAAGACATTCCCCTTATTTAAACAGCGATGCATCCTGAGAGCTGCTGGTCACCAACAGCTACCAGCGACTTCGAGGGGAATGAGACGTGCTTAGACCCTTTCAAGTGCACGGTGTATGTCCACCCGTAACTACGTATGTAAGCACATGTGCAGCCATAACTTGGGCTCTGGAGCTGTTCAAAACAGTGGCATGTGGATTTTTGACAATGGGAAAAGTGCGTTTTTCAACCTCTCCTAATACTCCACAACAGATGAACTGTTGCTGTTCCTAAGTACAGAGCAACAGAGTCACCTTTCAGCAGAGACCACGCGTGGCGAAGTTCAGCCTGAAAGGTGAAAGTTACAAGGAACTGAAATACCCAGGGGTGAGACTAGAACCTGTTCTGCAATCATGGCTATCGTAGTCACTATGGGCATGTCTCCACTGCACACAATGGCCAGGTTCTGAGTCTGGTTTGAGCCTAAGCCCCATTTCCATCCACACACAAGACAACCTGACTCGGGTCAGCAAGCACTCAGGATCCGGGTCCTAGAACCCTGTTGGTGGGACAGGCCAGAGCCCAAGTCCTGCTGTGAAGCCCATTTATTTTTCATCACAGATGCACCTCAAGCCACAGACCAAGTCTGCAGACCTCCTGAGTGCAGTGTGGACGCATTAGCACGGCTGTGAGACTTGGGTCCAGCATCGTAAACCCGGGTTTACAATGCAGGGTGGATACTTAAGTGCAGGCCTAGAAACACCGAGCGTGCGAGCCCAGCTCCCACAGACCCCGGTTTACAAGGCAGCGTCGACAGACTCTCAGGCTCCTGCTATAATTATGACATACAGTCTAAGTGCTGTGTTCTGGCAACTCAATCTTCTTAACAGACTGTCGTGGAAGTTCAAGCTAGCGGGTTTAAATCAACAGCTAATGATAAACATCAGCTGTGGCAGGATGACTTTGCAAGCCAATAAAATGCTTCCAGTGTATAGTAACAGTACTGTCATGCTTCTTTAGACACGAACCCGGTGGGTGACTCTGACTGGTTCTGTTCAGGGAAATCTGAAACAAAACGTTTCAGATTGCGGAGCTGCAAGTGTATCTGACCTTTAACAATACCTTCTGGGGGCACCCAGCGCGAACCCCATTCCGTGGCTGCTAGCTTCAGTCTTACCTGGTTATTTCCTCCTTCAGAGCAGCAGGGTCGGTGGGATAAAACTTCACACGAAAACACATGGTGAATGGAGGCTGGGCTGCAGCGTAAAATGACAATGTTACGGTCACTTGAATTGTATCCATTGAGAACAAATACACCCGTGCCTTCCTCAGCTATTAACCCAACTAAAGGAGCTAGTCAAAGCTTTTTCAGGACCAGATCTGGCTCCGCGGTTACGTATCCCCCCAAAGCACAGGCAGAGCGCTCATTAACAGCAAGGGCAGTTGTGATCCCAACTCCTCAGGCACCAAAAGAAAGGATGGGCCTCAAGCACCTCCCTTTGTCATAATGGCAAAAGAATTCAACGGGGAAGCTAAAAGCCCCTCTTTGCCCCCCTGTTCTGTGCAAGGATTGTGGTGTAAATAACAATCTAGAGTCCTCCAGTCTCTTAGACACCCAAGAGTACACGGAGGACACTGCTTGAAATCTGAATGGCCTGTCTGTCCGCTCCCCACAATCCCTACCGACACAAACACAGTACACACAAACACAGTACATACACTATAGGCTAGACTGTGAGCTGGCCTACACAACCACAGAGGGAGGGAGGGGTCAGAAAGATGATTCCCACCTCCACCTTAGCCAAGCAAGGGCTGCTCATGACAGCAGTCGTTGTGCTCCTACACTTGGCTTCCACCCTACAAGCAGGATGCTAAAGACAAGGGAGAAGGACAGGGAGGGGATGGGGCTTCCGCCACACAATGCCCAAGGCTCCTCCTGCACTGGCCCGTGCAGCAGAGGGACAGCTGGGAGGAAGGGGGACGGGGAGATCTCTAAAACACAACTCAAGGAATAATGGGGCATTTCCAAAGGGGGTTTTCATTGGGCCTCCATGGCTGTGCCGACAGTACACGTGACGGTATCTGTTGTGTGGGCAATAAAAGTTCACTTTTGCTTGGAAAACAGGTGGGCTTGCAAATTGTTATTTGCTCACTCGGATCATTTATCCATGCAGGTACCTGTTTTGTTCAAGCAAACACAGATTTTGCATGTGCAAAATGGACATAGTTACATTGGCACAAGTAGGAGGCTTAATGAAAATTTGCCCCCGAGAGAATTATTTCATTTTCAACGTAATGAAGATACTCAGAAGGGCACATTCGCTAGGTGATGTGCAGGAAATAACCCACACAAGTCAAGTGGTTGAACCAGAGGGAAATGCTTATAAAATTAAGGGGAGCATGCATAGGCGACATCAGACATCTTCCTACATAGAGGCACAGTAAATGCAATACTTACCTCTCATCTGCTTCACAACAGACTTTGTAAACTCCAACCAATGCTGAAATGAAAAAGAAAGGTTTTCTTTTTAAAAAGGACCAGTAACAAATACCCTCGTGTTCATGTTGTAATGCCTCCTCTTTGGGTAAAAATAAAAGAAACCGAAAAAACCGGGTTGAAACAGAGGCATGTTTCTTTGAATGACCAATAGATTATAGAGAAAAAGAGGGAACCATGCAGCAAGCTCAGAAGTTTCAAACGAGGGGGCCTGATATTCCACTGCCTCACATCTTCTCGAGTGCTTTACACCGGTCCAAGGCAGGTAGAGTATCAGACCCTAGCGTGTCAGATGCAAATCCCGATCACCACAACGACCAGCCACTGGGATCCTGACTTTGTTAAAGTACGTGGAATCTTTTAGGAACATTTGCTCAACCAGCTGCACCGCACGCCAGGCTGAGACAAATGCCCGATCCCTGGGATAACGAGAACTCACTCCTGCGCCCGTGGAAGCTCATGGGAGTTCTACCACTGACGTCAGTGGGGGGTAAGTCTTCTTCTAATCTGGCCACGTGCTCACAACGTAGCTTGTGCCAGCTCACACGGGGGTGGCAAACTCTAAGCAGCCAGGAAATCAGAAGGGGAGCCTGATACGTCACAAATGACAGAGCAGGTAGTGCAGCTTCCCTATGATCTCTGAGGAGCGACAGCTGCAGTAGAAAAGGAGTCAGAAGAGGCAACCGCCGATACCATGGGCAGGGCTAGCAGACAAACCTCCACCCCACTCCTATGGGGTTTAACACTGACAAGGACAGCACACCTGGAAGAGCGAGCTGCTGGTATGTGCTAAGACCGCTGGAAATCACTGGGCCCGGCCACGCGGATCAGATAGTAATGATGGGTGCCTCTGAGCAGGCCAGGCATCAGCGCCATGGCATGGCTCATCCGAGCGGGGCAGCAAGGACTGAGTTTTGCTCTGAAGGCTGTCCCACCTCCAGCGGCTATCCCAGCAAAGCACACAGCCCCTGGCTAGCCCGGTCACTCTGTCCTCAGACTGCCCAGACTCCCAGACCCGCAGCCCGAGAGACTCAGCTGTACTACGGCCGGGATGCAGTGGGCATTTCGGGCTAGCACTCTGTACCTGCAGCACTCTGATGGTCTGACTGGAACCACCTCATTTCCCAAAGGAAGGCCCCACCTTTGTTTAAGTAGCCCCCTCTCCACTCCTTCTCAGGGCAGCGCTAGCTTGGCTGCACTGAGGCCTGCATCTGGGCTGCTGCTCACCCCGGGTTAATTGGGGGCATCCCCTGAACCGGGGGGGCGGAGGGGGAGAGCTGCATTTTAAAGGAGCTTGGCTCCCTGCAATTTGCAGGCTGAGAATCGGCCTCTGATCAGCACCAAATATGGCAGGGAATAAGATGGCATCAGTGGATGTAAAGTGTCCCCCCAGTATCAGTGTCCACCCTGTAGCACAGAAACATCTTTCAAGGCATTTCCTTCCCTCTGGCATCCTGGGGAGCAGGGGGCAGAGGAGCTGGAGGGAGAATTTCCCTCTCTCCCTAGAGTTTGAGCAGCCAGCAGTTTCCCTTCTGCCCTAACTCCTTTAGGCCCAGGGAACCCCTGAGAGACCATGTCACATTTCTAGGACAATTCTCGCTCTGCGCCTCCGCACGGATGGATGAGTTTGCCACGCTTCCTCTCAGCAGCCCCATTACATCTGACTAGGTATCACCACCCAAGTCCATCTGACACTGGAGTGGGAGCATTTTATCTTGCCGTGTCGAGCAAGAACTCTGTCAGCCGGACAGCAGTCTCTTCTGCTGGCATCTCGAAGCGCTTGCTGAGGTGAAGTACAAGATAGTTGGGAAATATTTCCCCTTGCTTTACTAGCTGCAACATTCCCAGGTCAGGTGCCAACAGATCAGTCAGGTTACGTGCCAAAACCATTCATCTTCAGCTCGAGCACCTTCCATTCGCTGGCGTCTAGCGCTCCGTATCGCCTGACTGTCCGATTCCTGACAGAGCACAGCGAGCTGACAGGACACTGTCAATGTCTAGGCCCACGTGTTACCCCCACCTTTGAACGGGTATGTTATAGCTGGACATGTGCTTTGTGTTGTGAAAGCAGAGATCCATCACTCCCATGCTGAATGATTAAACCCAAAGCGGGGCACGGTAGGCCTGGTCTACACCTAACACATAAGTTGGCCTAGCTACATGGCTCACGCTGCTGAGATGTTGTTAAGCCGAGCTCAGCCCCAGTGTAGACTCCTGTCGAGCTAGCTGCCGTCTCTCAGAGTGATGGAAGAACCCCATCGGCTCAGCTGCAGTGTTTCTAGCACAGCCATACCCTTAGTATCGGTCCTGCACTATAAAAATGTAACACAAACCCATCGATGGATGCTGTGATAAACCCCTCCCTATCTGAAAAACTGCCTCTTTCAAATCGCAGCGGGAGGATTTTGCAGCTACCCCCAAGCCTGCTGGATCCCTCCCTCTGTCCGGCACAAACACCTCTCTTTTAAAGGGATGGGTCTTGTTGTTTAACTTTGCAGTAGTGCCACAGATGCATGCAAACAGCGCTGGGACGTACAATCAGCACAGCTGCGTATGCAAAATGCCGTTTGCTGCTTGGCACTGTCTGGAATGATTGATTGAAATCGCCCAAGGTAAGCTAGGGGGCCAAAAAAGAACATCTTTAATTATCACAGGACAGAGTAGGTTACACTTGAGGCCTGTCTTTCTGGAGTGACTCTGACAGCACCTTCCAAAAAGAAGCCGCAAGTTCTTACTGCAGCAAGGTTTTGCAACCATTGCTGCTAACGTTTGCGGCCCAACTTAAAGGGTGATGCAAGAAACTAAAAGATTTCCCTAGGCATGAAGAGGGGGCTAACAGATGCCTGGGGAGAGGTACCACAAAACAATAGAGAAAAATGACATCACAGCAATCCAGGGAAAGGTCAGTTAACACAACACATTGCAGGCAACATGAAGAACTATCCCGAGGAAACAGCACGCATGCCACAAGAGCCAGCGAAGAGTCACCCTGGCTCAAAAGGAACCCATAACACTTGCATCACGCAGTACGTACAGTAGCACTGCCACCACTGGAGAAGCCGTTCGTACGAGACCCCTTTACACGGGCAGGACATGGCACACCCCAGCTAGGGCACCTCGCCTCCCTCCCCTTTCCTGAGGTCCCTTCCAACCCTGATATTCTATGATTCCTTGAGAGCAGCTCAAGCTCTTGGAGGCCTTAGTTGAGTCCTTGAGGAGGGAGAATTTCTTTGGGTGGCCAAGGGAGGAATGAGATTGAATGAAGGAAAAGGCATCAGGAAAAACCTCCCCCCAACAGCAAGACCTGCTAGGCAGTGTCTAAGATCCCCCCAGGGAAGTGGGGGAAGTCACACCACCTGGAACACTTCACACTGGACCAGATAAACACCAGGGCACCCCTGGTAGGGAAGGACTACAGGCTCAGGGCACCTGTCCTTAGAAGCCATCACCAATTTTTATGGTCCGAGAAAAATTTCAAAACCACTGTTTCTGGCTCCTCAGCAGTTCTTTCCTCACCACAGTCTCTCAAACGACCAGTTCTAACCTGCTGACGGTTCGTAGCTACACGGCACAGTCTCCTTGCCAAGCCTGGCCAAACTTCACTAATAAATACGTTTGCAACAAAAATCAGATACTTTTTCTGCATGGCCCAGAACTCTCTGCGGGTCATGTGCTCGGCTGGTACAATCACACTTCCTGGAGACTGGGAACACTGGAGTCAGCTTTGTGCCTCCGAACTCATCCCAGATACGCTGTGACGGCAGCACGCGAGCCTGGCTGCACATGTTTCCAGCAAGCCCCTGCGGCTGCCCACGCCCCAGCTCAGTCACGTCTCTGAGCAGCAAGGGTTTGCTTTCCAATAAGAAATATTTACTTGTGCAGCAGTGATAATGGATTGAGGAGGCAGCCCCATTCGTCAGATGTTAAACGCGGTGCTTGAAACTGAGAAATGCAAAGCCAGACAGCTCTCGAATAACAAAACTGCCACATTTTAACTGCAAAGGTTAAAATGATTCCTGCTCAGCCCCCTCGATTCTGGTCACACTGAAGCCAGTCGGACACCGGGGTCACTCCACTGAGTTCTGTTACGACTCCCATAATACACACCAGCCAGTCGTGCCCGTTAATTGAACTGCAATGGGCCCAAGAAAAGCAACAACAAAAAGAATGACATTAACACAACCCAAGGGTGCTGGTAACTCTCTGAAGCCAACCTTGCCCATTTCAAGGGTCGGGCTCCAGCTGACCAGCTCTTTTTGAACTCTGCATCCAGTGTCTTCCAGGCCTTAACGATGCCATAACCACACACACAGCCACGCGAGTTCTCAAACTCAATGCACAACTTCAAGAGCGTTCCTTCTGATCTTCGCATGGTCAGTGATGTCAGGACCAAGCCCAGGACTTTTTTCACACTAAATGCCATTATAACTTCAGTTTGGACAAGACAAACCAGCTCATGTCCTCCATGCCTCCATCCCAACCCATTGTGTAGACATTCTGATAGAAGAAACAATGTCACCGCTTGAGTCTATTAATATGTACTGAGAAATTCCCAAAGGCACTTCTTAGCCTTTGTGTGGATTCATGGTGCATGCAGTTTCCTGTATGGTGCTCCCTTTTCAATGGCCATGCAAACAGACAACACACTCCAGTGTATCACACACAAGGCCTTATCTGTACATATATTTAACGAGGCTATTTGCCAACAAGCAGGAAAACAAAGAGGCAACACAACCAGAGTGGCAGTTAGTGATCAGTCAGAATCACTGCAAGAAAAATGTTGCTCTCCACCGTTAAAAAGCTACCACACTTTACCCATTATGAATTCAGCCACTCCTTCGAACGAGGTTATTCATCGCCTGTGACACTGACGAGCAGGAAGAAAGGTCGGAGAGATTTCCGAGAGGAGCAGGCAAGCACAAGTGCCCAGAAGAAAACTTGCAGGGTTAAAGAAAGGCATTGGGAGTCAGCTGATCACTAGCACACAGGAAAGACATCGAGGCCACTGATGCTGCTGCATCATCGTTAGCCAGGAAGTTAGCCAGGGGGACCACAAAAACCAGTGAGTGCCGAGGAGACAGCAAGCAAAGCCTCCTGAGCCCTGGGGTATGTTCCACTGGGAGAGGAAAAGGAGCCAAGTGAAAGATCTCCGTGCTTAGTGGAAGTTAACCATAACAGCTCAACTCATGGCACCACCTCACTCTTCAGGGAGCTGTGCTGTAAGTTCTCTTCCCCTGCGTATCCGCACTGTTTCTTAGACAGAGGAACGGGTGCAAGGGGATTGAGCAGGAACAGAAATTACTCCTGTTCTGATGCTTTTGGGAAAGATCTTGATCTCAGCAGCAAACCCAGTGCTACCAGAATAGTAAAAAACAGTTGGAGGCATACAGAGCTTCCAACCCATCCGTTTCAGGTGCTCTTAAGGCCTACGCTGTATGCTGGTACAATGCTGCATTCTTTAGGTGTTTTTAAAGGAATATTAATCTAATGTAGAGAACTAACCTTGAGAAATGGCAGAAATAACTCGCACACATATTTATTGCCCAAACATTTTACTTATTGGAGATACTGTGATATTCATTATACGTAGCCACAAAGTGACAGCTCAGCAAGTCCCTGTTCCTGCAATAACACCTGCTGTTGTGTACTCCTGCACCTGGGCAGAGTTGTTTTTGACTTGAATGGGACATTGCAAATGTGCCTGGATCGGTGCTGGCAGATTGCACTGGTCGATCGGCGCCCATCATCCTGCTGTCTGAAACAGTCTCATGAATGCAGTGCACAGCCAGTTTCTAACCTAGAAGTCTTCTCTATCAAGCTTCCACGTACTGTGTTTCTTCTCATGCTTTATTGCCCCAGGTAGCAGCTGCTCTATTTCCTACACTAGAGGGGACTGGTACATGCCCGTCTCTATGTGAAAATGTGGTTCTACTTGGTAAAGCTACTCTGAAAAAAATGGCCATTAGGAAGTTCCATGTCTGCTTCTCCTTTTCGTCCACACGTATCGGCTCGTTTTACAAATGAAAAGATTTTTTTCCCCTTAAGTGCCAGCTCATCCTGGAATCTGAGAGTCTTGCTGAGTTCTTTCTGGTTCACACATCGCAGCCTATGATAAAGATCCTGCAGTTGGAACTAAGTGAATAATTCTGTGGCTGATGCACGAGCCGGAATACGATCCAGCTCCCCCTCTCAGAGCTGCACAGGCTCTGAAATGCTTGAGGGAACAGGAAGTATCAAAACATACGTTTGTAATGAAAGTAAGCAGAAGAGACACCTCACCTGGTACAGTGTGAATGAGGGAGACAGCTGGCTTTTTGATTGACAGGTGGACCACATTACCCTGCTCATTAACCCATTGGGGTAGATACAATTTCTCAGGCTGGTCTTCTTGCAGACCAGCAGAGACAGGAAAAGCTGTAGAGAAAGACTCCTGACAAAGGGCTGGGTTGATTTCTAGTTCTAATTCTAATTCAGTTTACTTCCCTGTTTGTTTTGCACTGTGGCTGTTAGTCACAGGAAGAACAACAATTCTCTCTGACTTTTTTAAACAGTGAATCACTAAGAAAAAGTACAAATACAAACCCCAGACAGGCAAGGTATATTTCCCCAGCTAAGGAGTGTGACATATACCTGAAGCAGCACTGCCTTCCAGGTTTACTGTAGGGAAAATTCCTCCGGACTATCCAAGCACATCTTGGAACAGATCTTAGTGTAGCTCATAACTTAGCTGCTACTTACCCTTTGCTTGTCTGGGTCCACAAACCGAATTCCAAAGTAGTCTTTCTCCAGTAAGTTTAGGTGATGGCAGAGAAGGTCAAACAGATACTGACCCTTGGCATCTCTCTGCAAGATAAAGAAACTGCATTTACAAATGGATAGACACACGCCCGCTACGTTTAACTAAAAAAGCAAAAGCAGAGGCCCTGTAGAACACTGCAATACTCAACGGCACACCCAGCAGGCTTCGTGTTTGCTGGAAACGAGATGGTGAAGGATTTGCAAGTGGGAGCATGACATACCAATATGCTTGGACATCTGAAACCTAGAATCACACCCAGGTTTGGTTTAATCCCATTAACTTCACTTGAGTTTTATCATGGATGAATTCATCTCAGTGGGTAATGTTCTGCTCTCCCCTACACTGGTGCAATCGCAGAGAAGTCCCGTTCACTTCACTAGGGCTGCACAGGTGTAACTGAGAGCAGAACCCAGCGTGTTTTTATCTTATTGGTCCTGGCCTGAGAAATGTAAAATCATCACACTAAGCACTCAGGATTAATATTAACAGATTTTCCTGGGTTGTGTGAAATACCCAGAACCTTTTGCAATCAAGTGGAGTCTAGCTCAGGTTGACAAAAGAAGGATGTTCTGAATCCAGGCTGCTCCACCCCGACTTACCCTGCCAGTGTCCCAGGTTTTAGAAGAACGTGTGATCTGAATGATCAGACGTGCTCCAATATTGCACAATGGAACAAACTATCAACCCTAACTGGATTATCTTCCTTCTGTTGCTTAGCTCAGACTCTACCAACTCGTGGGCCACTAATGACCGATGCCCCAATTCAGCAAAGCATTTAAAAACGCTCTTATCTTTAAGCACATGCTTAAAACCCATTGACGTTAAATGTGTCAGTGCGTGCTGAATTGGGGCCTCGGCGTGCTTACGCCTTTCCCTTCGCTAACTCCAAGTTGCTCCAGGCTTCTGCGGCCTGGCACTAGATCACTCAAATGGCCCCATTTAATTTTATATCAATCACCATCTATAGGATGATTTCCCAATTCAATAAAAACCCCTTTCAAGTGTTCACCGAGTATGTGCCAGTATTTGCATCCAGCCAATCACATCCTCATTCCCCAAAAGACTCCTTGCAGAAGAACACTGCAGCCTGTAGTTCTGACGCTTCACTAGCAGGCACGTAATTTATTAGTAAGAAAACGGCTTCTAAGTAACTGTGTTTCATTTTTATCATGGAATGGCTGTCACTGGGGCCAGTCCACCCTAATAAAGAACAATGATGCTCTGAAACACTGCAATTACATTCCTGGATACTTCTAAGGGAATGTTTTCACTGTTTTTTATAAACATCTTGCCAGAGATTCGCTGTCTGTTTTCATAAATTTCCTGCTTTTAGTAATTTTCCTTTCACTTGTTTCAATAATATTTATCATTTATGTAGCACTTTTCAAACATTAACTCTCACAACCCCCTGTGATGCCATCCTTTGTTCACACATGGAAACGGAGGAAGGGGTTTAAGCCATTTGTAGAGCCCTGCGTGGATACCTGCTCCCCGGACAGAAAGTGGGGATATCCGCAGATTTGCAGAGCTGCAGCCATTTGCCTGAGGACTCAGGGTGTTGTTAGCACTGGGATTAGAACTCATGAATGTCCAGTTTACAGTGCTCTGCTCAGACCGTGATACATCACCTCCTGATTTCTGCTGTCCAGTCAAAAACATCTAGTTCTATATTACAGGTCCACAGCGGAAGCTGTAAGATTACCACTCTCTTTTCAAACAGGAAAGCCGCAAAACACTGTACTGATGTTTTAATAGATTCATAGGACTTTAAGGCCAGAAGAAACGATCATTCGGTCTGGCCTCTTGCATAACACAGGCCAGAGAACCTCACCCAGTGATTTCTGCATCACACACAACTTCTGCGTGAGCTAGAGCAGATCTTTTAGAAAGACATCCCGTCGTGGTTTAAAGACCCCAAGTGACAGAGAATCTACCGCAGCCCCCAGCAAGTTGTCCCAGTGATTAACTTCCCTCACTATTAAACATTTGCACCTTTTTTCTACTCTGAATGTGTCTGGCTTCAGCTTCCAGCCATAGGAGCTCATTATGCCTTCATCCACCAAAGAGCCATCTAGTCTCAGAAATCTCTTCCCCATCTATGTACCTGCAGACCGTGATCAGGTAACCTCTTGGCCTTTTCTTGGATAAACTACGTAGCTTGAGTTCCTTTAGTCTTTCACTATTTTATGATTCAAGGACTAACTTATTTATTTTTAACCTGTTTTCTCTCTCTCCTCTTCTATTGAGATATTAAGGATAACTTCTTCCCTTCCTGCTCTACTCTGGTTTGCATTGCTGTGTGCTGTTAAAGTCCGTATTTGTCTACAACCAGCGAGGGTTTTCAAGACTCCATGCTGAAGAAACACCCACTCCTAAAAGGAACTTCTAAACGTTCTAATTCGTCGAAGCATTGCTGAATTACAGCAGAACTCCTTTGGAAGACGAGGATGCACATCCAGTCCAATTACCATTAAATACAGAAAAGTAGCAATGTTTAAACCTCGTCTGTGTAATGGCATTGATTGGCTCTGCTTCCCAGCATGGCTAAACGGAACGTTTTCAGAGGTGTGGCCAGGGGTCTAAGCCAGAGTATATTTTTTTCTGGTTCTTACGAGTCAGTCCCTCCCTGAATCACTTCAGCTAGTCTGCCAAGAGGAACTGGTATTGGTTTTGGCCAGTTTCTTTAGTCAGCTGTGTACAGGTGTACATGCTCTGCATGTGCTGCAGCACATACATCAAACCTACGGCAACGACTTCTGTAAGACGCTGAAAAAGCGGTCTGTGCAAAACAGGTTTCTGAACAACTACCATGCAGTTTTATAAGGTCCCACGTGCCAGGACAGTTTCTAAATACAGCTAAGTATCAGAGGGGTAGCCGTGTTAGTCTGGATCTGTAAACAGCGACAAAGAGTCCTGTGGCACCTTATAGCCTAACAGATGTATCGGAGCATACGCTTTCATGGGTGAATACGTCAGACGCACGTGGGTATTCACCCACGAAAGCTTATGCTCCAATACGTCTGTTACTCTATAAGGTGCCACAGGACTCTGTCGCTGTTTAAATACAGCGAGACGAAGTCACAGAGGAATTTTGAAGTATCATAAATCTAAAACTTGATATATTCTGAGATTATTAAAACCTGAAGCCCCAGTCCTGCGAAGCCTTAGGCACCTGCGTAATTCTAGACAGTGAGAGTGGGGCCATTGGAGTCCATGGGACTGCCGACCGGGTATGAAGGTAGCACATGTGTAGGGCCCCAGCGGATAGTGCCTGTATATCCTCGAGATTAGACGTATGATTACTGCTTTTTCCAAACATTCTCCAATCCACTGCTGATAGTTGGTTTTGTTTTGTTTTTGTTTTTTTTTGGGGGGGGGGGGGAGGGAGAGAGAGAGCCAATATTAGTGTAGGACCTACAAAAATATTTGTTGCACTTGGACTTTCCTTGCTCTCCAGCATCACTTAACTAAGGATTGGTCCATACACAAAACTGTACCCATTTAATCAACAGTGTGATTTATTATTGATTTAGTTAACCCAGTGCATCATCACCTGTGGACACTCTTGCACCAGTGTAAACCTGGCCCATAACCATTTGGCGGGTGTCAGTACATTTACAGACACAACCTAAGTCAATGTAAGCTGCTGTTTTAAAACAACATGAAAGTGTCCACATGAGGGGGGTGCGGTTGCACAGGTGTAACTAAACTTTTTTTTTTAAACTGATTTAAGATAAACTAGTGCAACTTGTGTGTGTAGACAAGCCCTAAGAAACACTATTCTCAACCCCCAAGTGCTATGGACACAGAGGAAGGTGCGTACAATGTCTATTTCTTGTGTTCTGTGCTCGGGAGAAAAACTAAATACTGGTGAACAAACAAAAAGGGGTGTGTGTCAATTTCAAGATCCGCTAGGAACCGCAGGGGGAAAATTCGCCATTTACCAAATCGACAAGAGACAAGATTGGATGGGAAAGAAATTACAGTTCCAAATTCTGAGAGACTATTACTAATACTGATGGATTTTCAAGATAGTGCTCAGTAAAGTACTGTGCTGTTGACTCATTCCGTGGTATATTTTGTATAGTGCTCATCAGTCAAGGGCTAAGAGCACCTTGGAAAGCCAGGTGCAGCGTGAACAGGATGAGCACAAGTGTCCCCACCCATCACTGCCGGTGCACCCCAGTTTGGAGCGCAGCACCCATGCCAGGCCAGTTTAGAGGCTAACCTTGCTGAATGGTGCTAGATTCCTGAGGTGCTTTCGTGGCTTTGATAAAATGCTGCCCTCAGGGCCCACTATGAAGATGTACTACAGGAACTCACTCATGGACCGCCTTCCAAGTGCTTCAGGCATTTGCTCTCACTATCAGCATTAAGAAAAACGGCTGTATTAGGACGGGGGGGGGGCAGTCCACAAGATCCTTCAATCACCTTAAATGCAAACCAGCTAGAAGTCGTCCAGAAGTTCAGCTATTTAGGTTCTGGAGTGACCACCAACCTCTCACTGGATGAAGAACTAAATGTTCGCATTGGAAAGGCCGCCACCACCTTTAGCAGACCAACTAAAAGAGCCTGGCACAACTCAAAGCTGACCATCAACACCAAAATGCTAGTGTACCAAGCTTGCGCCCTCAGCACTCATGTACGGTGGGGAAACATGGACAACTTATGCTCATCAGGAGAAAAGGTTAAACAGTTTCCGCCTACGTTGTTTACGCCGCATACTCAACACCGGGCCATCTGAGTAGGTTGGAAGATGGACACATACCCAAGGACATGCTATACGGGGAGATATCAGAGGGAACAAGAACAGGATGGCCCAAGCTTCGCTATAAAGACACACGCAAGCAAGATATGAAGGAATTTGGAATTGATCCTAACCGATGGGAAATCTTGGCAAGTGATTGTACCAAGTGGCGCCATCGTCTCCATTAGGGCATCAGAGTCCATGACAGAAGCTGGCCCCCCCAAAGCTTGAAGAGAAACGAGCCCGGAGGAAGCCAGCAGCTCCCAACCAAGATACAGACATTTGCAACAACTGCCACAGATCATTCAAATCTCAGAT